ACCATCTAAAGTCACTATTCAAATGCTCACAGATGCCTATAGAAGCCCTATGTGAAGCATATAGCAATGATGAGGACAGAGCAGGAAATCCTGCTTTTGATGCCATTCAGCAGGATTTGCACATCACGGTTGAAGAAATCGCAGCAAGCTATCTTTTGGGACCTCCCAACATTCTCCTTGCGGTCATGGGTATTAGCCACACTATAATCTCCAGCTCTTATGCTCTCCTTGTCTTCTTTCATGGCACATTTATCCCTCAAGATCTCAATATCTATGTTCCTGTGCAGTGGATGCATATCCTCAAGGCATATATTGTGGAGAGAGGATGGAAGGAGAATGACGACCACAAAGACACAGCTTATGACATGGCCAGTGTTCTTCGATGTTCTGCTCTTCAAGCCCTGTTCTTGCATATCCCACAAGCTCTGCCATTCAACCTATTGTAGAATTTCATTCTACTCTGGTTATGAACTATATAGCCTCATATGGAGTGGTGTGTTTATATCCCACATTGATGCTCATGGGAAAGGGGATAATCAGGGTTCAAACTGACAAAACTCGTCAAGGCTTTGACAAGTATCGACAACGTGGATTTGATCTTCAAGCATCAACATCTGCCTGGGCTGACCTTCCTGGACATCGGTGCAAGGTTGACTATATGTGTCCAGCGACTATACGAAATCTTCATGACTATGGAATGGTGTTTATTCCTTTCACTCAATGCTCTCATCGGCTTGAAGCACATGAAGACAGTTTGGTATGGAAGAATCCCATCAAGTGTGGAGGAAATGAAATGGTTAAAGATATTGGCTATACGGTATCTGCAATGGGAGAATATTGTGAGAATCTCATCAATGATTTGGTGCTGGTCTTGCTAATGATTTAATATTTAGGGCGTTCACTTTAGAGAAAGGAAAATTATTTCATAGAAGGAATAGCAACATGAGATATTGATCTTTATCAATTGGAGCAATATAGTCCTTCTTTACACTGTACCAGAAGTCTACATGTGGAACAGTCAGAACTTGATAAAAACTCACCACTACATAAGTCCTCCAACTTCAAAATTGTGCCAATTTTCTTCAGTCATTATCTTCAAACTCTGAGGATTCCTCAAGCTCATATGTGCTGCTAGAAGACAAATCAGCAGGGCACTTTGAACATGCACAACAAATATACAGACGGAAAAATCTCATCAACAATGAACCGTCCATCTTGCTTGAGTTGTGATGTGAAGTAGTTCTGGACATCAGGAATATGGCTGCTATAGAAAGAAATACGGTGGAGGTATGGGCATATTGAAAAGAGGAAATGAAAGAAGTCAATGCAATAGCGGATGGATTTGATATGTC